ATGACTCATCAATTGATTATGCAGCGGAAGAGACTTCTACCAAAGAGCTGTCCTTTCCAAATCAAACATATATATATATTTGATAATTGTCACCCTCCCCAGGAAGTTAAGATTTACACTTGGGACTTGAGTCAATTTGTGACATTTTGCATTACTGGCAAAGAATTTTCTTCTGGCGTCTGTAAACTTTGTAATCTGAAGTTTGAGGTTGTCTTTGTGAACACTTCTGGGTTAGGAGGGTGTGTGCTGTACCCCAGGGAATTGATGTGTTCTTAACTAGGCCTGGAGTGATGAGTGGGAAACACTTCATTGGAATTTTTCTCTCTGTCTTCTAAGGACACAGCTCCACTGTGAATCACAGAACCTCTGCAGCCTTGCATTTTTATCACATGTGCTATTAGTGCTCTTCCTTTCTCTCATGTTGGGCAGTGAAAGTGGATTACTCATCCCCCATTTTATTAGCTGTTGCTTTCTCATTTTTGTGTTGTACTGCGGCCCTGCAAGTTTTGGACAGCACTCACTCCAGTAAGTGATATATTTTATATAACTTATGAGCTGCATATAAACTTTCTGAGATTATGGGGCTTTAGCTAAAAGGAATTTACACAGCCATAGAACCAGAAGGTCACTGCAATTTTATAACTTTAAAACATGTCTGAGGTCATACATTTATTCAGTCATGGCTCTCTTTGCATTTAAAGGCATCAGGAAAAATTTCTGCTGGTGGTGAGAGACATCATGAGAGGCAGTGAGACTTAAGGTTGTAATCTGGTTCCCACTGAACTCCATGGAAAAAGCAATTTTCTGGAACAAGGGGGTATCTTTGCAGAAGGAAGGGAATTGCAGAACGTTACAAAGTCACTTTTATTTCCTCATACTGTGCTCAGCCAGGCATTGTTAGTAAATAAGATCCAGAGCACTTAAAAGAAGGATCCAATCACAAATTAAATTGGTCCATTAACTACATGTAATATTATTTACCTAAGTGGCCCTTCTGGACTATTTCATAGCTCAGGTTTATAACCTTTTTTAAAAAGATCAATAGTACTGAGCAGCAGTGTGTGAGCACGATGAAAGTCAGGCCATTTTCGCAGTTACGGGCCGTGATTTCCAGACCTGGAGTCCAGATTAGAATTGCAAAATGAGGAAAATGCTCTCCCTGAAACACTAAAAAGAAGAAAACATCCTCGGCAAGAAGGATGGGGGGAAGCAGTGAAGCAAGATGTGTTGCAAGGGATCAGTTCTTCGATGGGACTGATGCCACTGGAAGATGCAGGTGGCTTTTGCAGCACATAAACCCTTCCCAGGTCTGAGAGAGGAGGTGCAGTGGCATTTCAAGCCACACCCGGAGTTTTGTTGGTGTGAGGGAACACCCAGCCATGCTCTGAGCAGCCTGCCAGGTGGAGGGCTCTGCTGGCTGCTCTCAGGTGTGGCACAGAGTCCCAGCGGGTGGGAAAGGTAACTCTTTGCTGTTGTCCAAGGTCTGTGTTTGATCAGTTCCTCAGGCTGTCAGATGCTCACATCAGCTGGCAGCTAAATTCAATACCCCCAAGTCTCTGCTGCCTCTGTTGCACAGGGAGCTCAGCCATCAGGAGCAATGGTGCTTTTCCACCTTTGAATCAGCTTCATCATGATGATCAGAGCAAGTGAAATCCAGGAAGGCCCTGTTTTATAATGGGCTTAGTGACACATGGCTGTAAACTGGCTCTGGCTGCTTCCCCTTCAGTTCTACTCATCCCATTTCATCCAGGTCACTCTGACTCCCCTGAGACTGTGTGGGAGTGTGTGGTGTGTGTAAAGTGGGAATTGAGGGATGGCTCAACTCCTAACAGACCCTAAAAACTTTTTGTAGTGACAACTCATGGAATTTTTAGTGGCACAAAGCCAGAAACTTTCCTTTCCCAAACCAGGTCAGCTGTTCCTGCCAGGTATGGCTGCTTTTCAGGGGCTAAAACTCTGATTTCTTTTGCCAGGCTGAAAAGGCTTTGGAGATTTGGACTAATAATTCAGGGAGAAGGGCATCCCTGCTGGAGAGAGGTGATAGAGTCCAAACTGAGTGCTAAGTCCTCCTGCCTGTTGTGTTTCTCTCGTTATGGTTCTCCTGTTTCTCTCCACCTTTTTGTGGTGCAGGTGTCACCGCTGCATTAGTCAGTCCCTGCATATTGTCTGAGGCATCTGCAGTCAAGCATAGGCTGGAAGAATTTTCCTTGCCCCAAATAGTAACCCAAGTAGCAGAAAATGCCTCTCTGGGAAGAGAATTCATACGGAAAACACATGTTTTCAGGCTCTCTGCACCGATTCCAAAATTTTAGTGTGACTGTATTTCTATTTTTGCTACCTTTCAGGAATGTCACTGCTGCTTCTCTCTAGGCAGCACCTGTGCATTGCCTTCCCCTTCTCTTACCTGGATTGCACCAATGTTTTTGTAATTTTGGACTGTTAAGCAGGAGACAGGACCAGTCTGGGACACAGGTGTGTAGGGCCTACCAGAATTGTCTGCTTCACCATGAGATGCTGCCCCTGGGAGCCTGGTGGTGCTGAGAGGTGACAGCTAGAGCAGGGACCTTGTGCTCATTCATTCCACCCACAGGTTTGTTAATAATTGTGTTAAATAATTTTGATTGGCAAAGACATTGGGTCTGTAAATTGTGCTGGATCTTTGGCTGAGGGGCAGCTCAACAGATAAAGGTTTTGCTGAAGTGTTCCATGAACTGAACTCCAGGCACTCTTTTTTATTATTTTCTTTTAATCCTGCCTGCTGTTATTTTCAAACCCAGTCAACAGAATATGTTTGCCAGGCTGTGCAGGTGTTGGCATGAAAGGAATTCAGGAAGATCATTAATTTTGTGAGTCTTTCCTGTTTGATTTTATTGCAGCTTCCTATATGCTTGAGGTATTAACATTATGAGCTTTCTTTGGACTGGGGTTCTACTGGGAGATGAGATCTCACTGAGGAGTTAAGATACTTGGAGCTTTCTTTTCTTCCTACAAAACTGTTGGGAAGGAAAGGGATCCAATGCTGGCATGTTTCAGAAGGTGACATTTGTTATAACTCATTGCAAATGTTACTCACCATCTACAAAACGTCCAATTAAACTAAAGAGCAGTGAAAAATATCCAATTCCACTTTAGCAGCTGCACTTGTTGCCAGAATCCCTCATGTTTTTTGGAGCCAACAGATTCCCCCAGGAGACCTTCACATGGTGACTACTGTCCTCTGGCACCAGTCCCACTGGTTGGTGTTCCCTGCTCCCATCGGACAGACTGTCACACAAGGACAACATTTCCCTTCCCATTTGGGTTTCTCCTTACTTCCCAAAGATCTCTTTGGTCCTTTGTTATTACCAGACCTGTGCTGCATCCTTCTGTCTCCTGTCAGTGTTTCAATGGGAATTAGCTGGATCCCAGAGGAATAACGTTTTCAAAAACAAAATTTGAAAATGACCTGTGATCCTTGCTGCTTTTCAAAATCAGACTAGTCAGTTCTACATGCAGTTTATTGAAACTTGAAGCTTCTGAGTCACTGAGATTCTTCCTTAGTTCTAAAAGTTTTGGTGGAATAACATTCCTGTAGAAAACCAGCAAATATATTTATGGTTTCTAGTCAGTTTATGGGTCCTTTTGCCTCCAGTGCCTTTGTGTGTGTGTCTTGAGGTTGAACCAATGGATTCTGTGGTTCTGCCTGTGCAGAGACACATGTGAGCACTGTGCCAGCATCTCTGGGTATGTAACAAACACAAACTTCTCTGGCACTTGGAGGAGAGCGGGATCTTGAGTGAGCACATTCCTTGAGGTGCCAAAGGGGCTGGTACAGATCCCTGGCTCCTCAGGAAGTTCTCAGATGCAGCTTTGCTGTCTGCTACAGCCACCCACTGTTCTGCAGTGTCAGCTGGGCTGGAGCTCAGACCCACCCACTCTGGAGGGGCAGAAATGCAGCCGGGCTCTGCGGCTGCCCCGGGTGGCACCTGCAGAGCCCCGGCTCTGCGGCCACCACAGCCTCCTCCTCGTCACCTTTTATCAGCACCTCCTTCTCCCCCACATAGGGCACTACAATGGACCAAAACTCCAGCTAATTTGCTGCAGGAAACTGTTGAGCTTTGGCCAAGGAAATGGAATAAGTCACCCAATTAGTTATAGCTGCTGGTGGCCCCTGGTGCTGGCCTGGTGTCGTTTGTCAGAGCTAAGCATGGGTAGACAAGCCTGGTTCCTTTTTTCCTTACCTGTGAATACCCAGCCTGTGTTTCCTGTGACTCCAGTCACCTGCTGGGATCTTTGAGGCATGGGAAGGAACCTCAATTCATTCCGTCTGCTGCGCTTTTTCCAAGGCAGGTTTTACTTCTTGTTTTCCTAGACCACAAAACAACATCACTGCCTTTAGAAAGCAAGGGTGGGAGCTTTCTACATCAGCCTGTCTTTAGGTCCTATTTATAAATGAGAAGAGTGAGAAAAAATGTTTAAAAACATGCGAGCTTTAAAAATAAAACCGTGACCTAGTCAAAGAGTAAACACTAAGGAAGAATAAAAGACTGTTTTAAGACATGGAAGCAGAGAAGCAACAGCAAAAATGTTCAAAATGAATCTATTACTGTAAAGAGGAGGGTGTAAATCAGCAGCTCCCATCACTGACAGTTCAGAGATGCTGAGGATCTGGCGTAGCAGTGGAAAAGGATTAAATAAAAGGAACTTTGAGTGGGAAATAAAGCAAAGATGAGAAATCCACCTATTTGCATGTGATAATTACCCACAAACATCAAGATCATGCTTCTGACCAGAAAAAAGACATCAATGCCATTGGCAGTGTTTAAACAACTGAGTTGCTGTCATCATGAGTGGTGGTGCCACCTTTATGCTTTCAGGTAGCCCTTTAAGGTGGGGTTGCTCAGGGGGTGTTAAGAATACATCTTAAAAAGGGATGGGGAGCTTTTCCTGTGATGGCCCTTTGGAAGTTTGTCCCCTGTGGGGCTGTGCTGTCACTGATGCGTGGTTCTCCTCCCTCACAGGTTGCCTGGTCACTATGAACCATGGCCCAGCTATACTACAAAAAGGTCAACTTCTCCCCGTACCGAGACCGGATCCCACTCCAGATCGTGCGAGCGGAGGCAGAGCTCTCGTCGGAAGAGAAAGCCTACCTCAGTGCTGTGGAGAAGGGGGACTATGCCAGCGTGAAACATGCCTTGCAGGAGGCAGAGATCTACTACAACATCAACATTAACTGCATGGATCCTCTGGGGCGCAGTGCCCTCCTCATAGCCATAGAGAATGAGAACCTGGAGATCATGGAGCTGCTGCTGAGCCACAGCGTCTACGTGGGGGATGCTCTGCTCTACGCCATACGGAAGGAGGTGGTGGGAGCTGTGGAGCTGCTGCTCAATTACAGGAAGCCCAGTGGTGAAAAACAGGTTGGTTGAGTGTTCCCCTTCAGTTTTGAGCTGTTATCCTGCCCTAGGAAAGTGCTGCTGCTCAAAGTCCTTGATGTTGGTGCATGGCTTTAAATGGGCAGAGCAGACCTGGGCAGTCCTGGTAATTCTCCAGCCTGAGCAAACATGTTCTGCCTGACTCAAACACTCAGTTTTTTCTCTTTCACTCAGTGTTCTATCCAGCCCCACAGTGTTTGTGGACACACTGATTTATAGGTTGATTTACAGATGAGCACTTTCTTAAGGAATTTGTGTCTCTCTGAAATTATATTACAATCTGTAAATATGAACTATTGCCACGCTGTTGTGCTGATATTAAGTGGAATTGCTTTTCATAAGTAAACCCTGAAAGCACACGAGCTTATTTACAACTGCAAGCAAGCAAACAGTCTGCTGGGGTTCAGTCCTTTGCTGTAGTGCAGACAGATCATCTTGATCTCCCTCTCCAGAGGGCTCCAGGGCAGAAATGCTGAGGCAGGACATAACTTACAGCAGTGACTTGTAGGAAGGATCCTTAGCTGCAAAGCCATCCCTGAGTTATGTAAGGATCTTGTGGAAAAACCACCAAGTCTGAATCCTGTCACTTCAAGTGTCATCTATTGTCACCAACTTTTTTTTTTTTCCCTGGTTTTCTTCTTTTCGTTTGTAAGCACTACTGCCAATAATAGAATAATAGAATAATTTATGTACATTGCTGACCACTGATAATTTTTGTGTATGCACTGCTTAGCAAGGAACATCCAAAACTTGGATAATCCTTATACATCAAGCCTCCTTTTGAAGGGAACTCATCCCTCTGCATGTGAAAGATTTATACCAGTCAATCATGGAAGAAAATGTTTTCAATGCATAGGCCCCTTAGCACATAGTTTTTCAATAGTGATTTTATGTAGCCAAAGCAAACAATCAGGATCAACCCTGACAGAATTCAAGAGTGCTCAGCTTCTTATTTAGAAATTGAAGCATTGTGCATACTTGTAGCAATGTGATTCTAATATGTGGTTTAAAAACTAGAGAGATAATGAAACTCCTCTATCTGACCTAAAAATTTAACTGTTACTGCTGAGTTTTAGTCTGATAAAATCTAAATAGCAAAATACAGACCATCTCTTAAGAATGAGCCATTTTTTCCTCGGTCTTCTAGAAATTTGAGCATCCTGCAACTCAGCAGGACAGAAAGCAGAACTGAAGTTTTTTTCAGCAGCATGAGGAATTGCTACTGATTATAGCAGGCTAATGACAAGTTTCTCCTGAAATGTCATGGAAAGCAAGTGATGGGATTCATGTGGGTTTCTGTAACATCCCTTGAATAGCAAAACTTGTGTCCACTCAAATCCCCAGCCCTGCTGGCTTAACTGGACAGAGACAGAGGTCTGTGAAATGGTTGATACATTACAGTTGAAATTCAGCTCCAGTTCTCCAGTTCAGTGATCCATTTCATAGTAGGCCTGTTCCATTTTTCGTTATCTCTGTGCCAGCTCTCCTTCTGTAGCTAGAATTGTATCTGCTGAAGGGTTTACAACTTGGAGGAGAGCATGTGTGGGGGAGAAAAGATGCAGTGCCAGTTTCAGCTTTATTTACAAGGTTTGTTGCAAGAGCAGATTTCCTCAGTGTATTTTAAACTAGCACTGGCTTGGTGCAAGATTTTATGAACAGACTCAGATTAACTCCCCTGCCTGGGGTTCAGGTTCTTCTGGAGCCTGCAGAAGTGTTTGCTGGTAGAGGGCTGCAGGACTGGACTTCCCTTTCAGCTCTTTCACTGACTGCTCATGCAGTGATGGTGAGGAACATTTATTTCATGTGCAGTGACAGGACAAGTTGGGCCAAAGTTGGTTTTCTGCCAAATCACAAAGCTGTTACAGGAAGGGTTTCTGGACATGAGCTCCTGATGCTAATTCCACAGCAGTATCAAGATACATTCATTAATTGTCCTTGCTGGACCCTTTCTCAGAAGGTCCTTTAGGAGCCCCACACCTAATTGCTTTCACAAAAAGCACCTGATAAAGCAGATTAGCACAGCTTTGTCCTTATCAGCTACTTAGATGTTCTAAAACATGTATAAATGCTGCTTTTTTGGTCCAGTAGTAACAAAAAAATCGCACCTCAGAGGAAGGTCCCTGTCTGACTGTGAAATTTGTAAGATGGCATCACTGCACTTCTTAGGTTTATATATTCTTAGGTTTAAACCTTATATATTAGGTTTAGTATAATCTATTAATTAAATGTGTGGGGACAGCTTGGCTCGTGTGTGGCAGCCTGTTTGCCGTCAGGGACTGACTGTCTCTGCTGCACTCCGGGCAGAGCTGCAGGAGCAGCATCCTCTGATTTCTCAGTGTTGAATGTTCATTCACCTGAACCTGGGCTCTGGGAGAACCTGTTGGTTCTCTTTTCCTGCTGTTATTTGCCTCTCTCTCTGAGCCTGGTGTCTCTCTCTGGCTGCTGGGCATGAAGAGCTGTTCCTATTTGCGTCTGTTCACGTCAGCCCGGTTAATTGTTGTCTCTGCATCTCAAAAGCAGCTGAGCAGCATCATTCAGCATAATCCATTTAATGGGTGTGTATCTTCAGCCTTATCACCGTGCCACAATCCTGACAGCAGCTCTTACAGCTGCCTTGTTCCAGCCTCTTGTGGAGTTGCAGTGGCTGGATGTGGTTAGGAGAAGAGACACCCAAACCAAGGTAGAAAGCCGTGGCCTCTCGCAGGCTGGCCCTGCACAGGCAGGTTCACTCAGCAGCCACAGAGTCTCCAAGAGGAGAGCTCCAGACCCGGCTCTGAGAGCTGCCCGAGGGATAGAGCTCTGCTCTTCCACCTGGACGATGACCTTTTCAGGGAGCAGAAGTTAAAAACCTTTCAAACACACGTAGTGACCTTTGCTGTGCTCCTGATGTAGGAGAATCAGGGTCTCGTTGATGATGAAGGGCCGGGGGGGGAATGGATGAAGGGTTGGGCAGCGCAGAGGCTCAGATCCTGTTATTAAGTGAATTTTTATGAGTCATTATTCTGCAAACCTTTGCTAGACTGCTGTTTAAGCGCCATTTACTGCGAATGCCGTGACAATGGCAGGGGTAAGTCACAGCCAGTAACTATAACAACCCGCGCTGCAGCCGGGGCTCGCTGGAGGAGCAAATTGTTCTGTTTACATGGGGAGCCTGGAGAGCCACCTCGCTCCAGAGGATGCTGCAGAGCACAGCAGAGATTAGCAGTGATGTGCTCGAGTAGATGTGTTTCTTTTTAGGTTTATCTCCAAGTGAAGTTTGTGGGCTATTTTAAGATCTTAGCATTTCTCCTCAAATCCATGCTGCCCAGTCCAGACAACAAGGAATGATGTGTCCAGCAGGAGCAGGGAGGTCATTGTCCCCCTGTACTTGTCACTGCTGAGGACACACCTCGAGGGCTGTGCCCAGCTCTGGCCCCGCAGTTTGGGAAGGACTTTGAGACACTCGAGCTCATCCAGAGGAGGCACCGAGGCTGGAGAGGGGCTGGGAACACAAACCCTGTGAGGAACCACTGAGGGAGCTGGGGGTGCTCAGCCTGGAGAAAAGGAGACTCAGGGGTGACCTTGTCACTGTACAGCTCCTGAAAGGTGGCTGTGGCCTCCTCAAGGCAACACTCACTGAAGCAGAGCACACACTGTGAAGCTGCACCAAGGGAAATACAGGTTGAATATAAGGAAAAAGTTTTTCACAGAAAGAGTGATAAAGTTCTGGAATGTCCTGCCCAGGGAGGTGGTGGAGTCACCATCCCTGGATGTGTTTAACAAAGCCTGGATGTGGCACTGGGTGCCAGGGTTCAGTTGAGGTGTTGGGGCTGGGTTGGACTCGATGATCTTGGAGGTCTCTTCCAGCCCAGTGATTCTGTGAATTCTGTGAACTTAGAGCCGTGGTTTTGGGTACTGAGCTGTGAGTCTGCCGGTGGAGCTGGGGAGGAGGTGTCACCAGTTACAGGCAGGATAATGTTAATGGACTTACAGCTGTTTTGCAAGATGTGGTTGGCTGTGGGAGATTTTGGGGTCAGTGAGAAAGTCATCATGGTGCAACCATGGAAAGAGCATAGAGATGTTCTGATGTGCTTCACTCCCAGCAGAAAGTAAAGCCCAGGCTTGAACGACCCATCCTCCTCTTCAGTAACCAAAGATCTTTCCTAATTTTGTGATTTTTGCAGGTTAACTTGTCATTTCCAAGGGTTACATAATTTACTCCGGTTACTCCTCAAAGCTTTTTATAAACCATAGCTCTCTTTGACCAGTCACACAGCTGGTCACTTAAACCATACCATAGCTTGTTTTTTTTCCAAACTCATGGCAGGCATTTGGAAATCAAGCAACATACTCATGAATATTAAGAGGAACAACAAAACAAACTAATATTCCTGGAACCTGGAGGGTGTGCTTTTCCTGCAGAGAATTGTAGTGAACAAACAAACATTTTCCAGGAAATAAAAGTGAGCCTGATCTAGTGCTGTGATAGTTATTGTTTGATTTTCTGGGCAGTGCAGAGGCTGATGTGGTTCTGCATAGTGGCAGAGGAGGAATATAAGTGTACTTGGCATGGCAATCCATTCTGAGTGATAAGTGATAAGACAACAAACCACTGAATAACCAACAGAAAGAGGAGGGATAGCAAAAATAGCAAAAATTAGCACCTGCAGATGCAGTATCAACTTTGGGCCAGGCTTTTCTCTTTGGGGGCAGACATGTTAAAATGCGAAGTTGTCTGTGCATGGGACAGTAAATGCAATGGCAAAACAAGGCACACAGCAAAAACAGAGATCTGGCTGGTGTCCTATGGGGTTGAAATTAACAGGGAATTTTAATTTTTGGGTTTTTTCCTTAATTCAGAACTACTGTACGAGCAAGGGAACGTATATATGAAGCCTGTTGAATGAATTCTCCTTCTCTGTAAAATCTTCCATCAGCCTGTTTGATATTTTTGAGTTTTGCTGTTTTTTTTTTCCTAAAAGTGCTCTCAGATGTGTTTTTTTACT